CAGGGTTTAAAAACATCAGTTGTTCGACCTGTTAGTCAAATGCGCTTTGTTAAAATATACTTTAATGGTTTACTTTTATAAATTTTGACTTGGATGGAGAGTTGTCTCATTGGCACTCATACCACATCTTCTTATATCTATTTTTAATTTTTAGTCTTTTGGAAATGTTGTTTGTGCTGTATTTAGACCCCTCTACCCAGAAATTTATTTTGCATGCACACATAGAAAAATTGCGGTTTTTATCCAACGCAATCATAGGTTTGAACGTTGTTTTCAATATTGACTTGTATATATGTATTGTTTATATATATGAAACACTTACCCCAGCTTTTGAGGAGAAAAAATATCAGTCATAATTTTCACACTTTTATTTGAAAAAATAGAACTAGTTTAATGTTTCTGTTTCTCAATACCGAAAAATAGACATGTAAAAATATAGTAAACAAGAAATGCCAATTTTATAGCATAAGCCATCTCAATGCCATTATGTGACAATGATTTAACATTTGTTTTATGATTCCACTTTGTTATAATTTGTATAGTAATCAGTTTTGAATGCTTATCACCTAATATTGTCATAAATCTAAACATTTTTTGAAAAGTCGTTTCTTTACAATTTAGAAAAAGGAATTCTCTGAATCAGAAAATAGTTTGGATTACTGTATAATCAGAAGTACAGATATGTAAAGTACAAAGTACCATGCAAAATCACTCAAATATACATATATTACATTTGCCCAATACCGCATATAAATACATTAATCTAATTACATGTGGAGCAGGATCTGCTTATCCTTCAGGAACACATGAGATCACTCCTGGTTTTTTTGGTGGTGTTCGTTTTTGTCGGTCTTTAGTTTCTACGTTCTATTTTGTATACTCATCTGTTGATTGTGTTTTGGTTGTTTTTTGTGTTTACCATTAGCCATGGCGTTGTCAGTTCATTCAAAACTTTTGACTTTGATTGTCTCTTTGGTGTCTTTCGCTCTTTCTTCTAACAAAATGGAATTTGATTTTGATGGCAGACCTCTGATTGATTTTGTTAGATGTTTTCGAAACTGTTATAAATTGGAAAATGTTTCTAGCCTTAAGACATTATCAAACTCATAAACCATAATTAACTTAAGAATACGTGAAGTATCTATCCTTACAATAAGAACCGAATATCAAAGTTCTAAATAAAATATGACGTTTTTAGGACAAACGTTATAATTCGACTATATGTACATGTTAATAGCCAAATCAATATTTGATTCGTTGAGACTATCCCACGTGACATTGAACAAAACTTCCTATTCCCCTCTGAACATCGGGACTTCCTCGTGCGACGTTACACGCGGTTAATGTACATAACGTTTTGAACGTCACTATCATACATAAAATTATTTCAGACGTTAAAACAAAAAGAACTAATAATTATAACGTTTGATCTTTCATGTTTATTAATGTTAATGTCGTTTTTAGTTATAAAACAAGCGGATAAGAAAAAAATGTATGTACATTAATATTGTATATTCATGTAGTAAACAAAGTATAGGCAGTGGAATACAACATTCATTTCCATTTGCTTTTAGGAGATATGAAGATTTGTTCATTTACTCACTATTCATACCCCAACTTTCAAAATTCTGTAAACAGAAAGTATATGAGCAAAGAATGAAATATTACAACAAACAACACTAAAAACAATAGCAAACGCAACATGTACTGATTGGTACTTTCTTGTGGAAAACATGATTTATTTATTAGCTGTTTTTGGCTTTGAACTAGTTTTCGGTAACTGCGAGTATTCTTAGAACGGGACTTGTCTTTATGTATGCTTCAGTTGTTGTTATTTTTTACTGCGGGCCAATCTTAAGAGATTTTCAATGTGTTTACAAGTTGTTCTTATGTTGTGCTGTTACACCACTGTATCTGGTTATGGGAGTGTTGAGCGTTCACAAACAATTCAACCCCGCCACATTATATATGTGCCTGGCAGATGTCCTGGGACTGTGGTTCTGTGGTTGTTGATGGCTGCTGTCTGTTCTATCTGTACATTGTTTATTGTTCGGGTTTGTAGCGAAAGTGTGGCAACTATGTGAAGGATAGATGCACAAAGAAACAAAGGTATAGCAGTTTGTTTCCCCCACGGCTAATAGTTCGAAACAGTTTGTTCAGCTGCACTACACGGCCAATAGTTCGAGACATATTACCTAGCAGCACCAGACGGCCAATAGTTCAAAACAGATTATCTAGCACCACCACACGTCCAAAAGTTCGAAACTGATTGTCTAGCAGCACCACACGGCCGATAGTTTGAAACAAAGTGTATCAAACGAGGCCTGTTATTTAATGGTTGTCGTTGGTTGCTCTCTGTCATAATTGTACTGCATTTGTCATATGTTCTTAAAACAGGCCGTTTGGTTTTTTTTTTGCCTGAATTGTGCTACATTTTGTCATGTCGTGGCTTTTCATATCTGACTAAACGATATGTTTTTTTCTCATTGTTTACAACCGTACAGTGACCTATAGCTGTTAACATCCATTTCGTTTGAATTCTGTTGGAAAGGTGTCTCATTAGCAATCATATCACATCTTCTTATTTTCAGTTGATGATAACTTTGGAAATCTGGAAAAGTTCTTACTCAACTGGTTACACAAGTTACATGGCTCATTGCAAGTAAACGTTTGTCGATAATTCCCATTCGATTATCGAAGGTGATGGTGGCTACGATAAGAGGAATATGTCTTACCATCCGAAATCAAAATATGACAGAATGTTCTACCACAAATTGTATAACTAAAGAAACTGTAAAATTTCGTTTTTGAATAGCAAACAATACAACGTTTGAGAGCATAAAAGCCAAAATGTTTGAATATTGCCAGCATAATTTCATTCAGTAGGGCAGATGAATTCTCGTACAGTATATTTGGCTGTAGTATTTTTTTATTGTTATATTTTTTTGGCGCCTTACATAAACGTGAGAAACTAAACATATTAAAACAAAATAGAAAAGATAGGAAGATTTATCATACATTAAATATTTTGAGTAATAATTGAAATTGAAGAGTAAAATACACCCATCTATAATTTAATGAGAAAAAGTACAAATTGTAATTAATTTTCCTATATATTTCGCAGGTTAAAACAAAATTGATATTGTGAAATTTAAATGATTCATCTTATTTTATTCACAGATCAATTGATTATTGTAACAACACTTAATTAATAAAATGTTCACTTTGATCTACCATCATTTCTTACGTAAAAATGTTGCAATTGATATTATTCGATTAATTCTTTCGACTTCCTATCATGAGTGTTTTCCTTACATGATTTTCTATTTGTACTATGTTATGAGTCAAAATAATATTCATTCTACATTAAAAAAAACTAATAAAACAATGTATTCAGTTCTGCCAAAGTATAAAAAAAATATATACTGTCACAAAGTTCCAAAATTTGAAAAAGAAAACTACTACATCTTTAAAACCACCAAAATATCTCTTTATAAAAAAAACCCGATTTACGGTAGCTGCTAGTATATAAAATTAATTAAACATAGTTTATTATTCTTAGTCATTTTGGTCTCTGGTGATAAAGTTGTGCCATTGGCAATCATAGCACATCTTCTTATTTTCATATTAAAGAATACTTGCAAGAAATTTTGATTCGATCCGGGTAAACTTATCAATCCTGTAAATAAATTCATTCTAAAAGGTTTAAATTAGATATTCAAATACTATTATATTGGTTTAATTATTGATGTTGTTATCAGTAAATTAAACCTAAATACTAAATACTGTTAATGACGTCTTTACACAAAATCCATTGGATTTTGGATGTGTACTGATTCATATTTTAGTCTTAGATACATGATTTTTATTAGTTGTTATACGCTTTGATCTAGCTGTCAGTAGTTGCAAGTACTCTCAGATCTGTACTTTGTGTTTTTTGTTGTTGTGAGGGATATATAAATACTCTGCCAAGTCCGTTCTGTGATTTTTTGTTAGATTCTGTTAGTTGTTTTTCTGCTTTGTATCCATCTGACGAGTTAAGCCCTTTTCAACTGATTGTTTAGTTTGTTCTTATGTTGTATTGTTACACCATTGTCCCGGGTTAGGGAGAGGGTTTGCGCCTTTAAACATTTTTCACCCCGCAACATTCTTTCTGTGCCTGTAGTCAGGAGCCTTTAGTTCATTGGTTGGCGTTGCTTTATGTCTGTCATATTTTGTTTTCGTAAAGTGTTTTGTTTTAAATTAGGTCGTAAGTTTTTTCTCAATTGAATTGTTTGATATTTTTCATGTCGGGGCCTTTTATAGCGTACCACACGGTATGGATTTTTCTCATTGCTGAAGGTCATACGGTTGCCTATAATTGCTTACATCCACATCAATTGAACTTTTGTGGATAGTTGTCTCATTGGCAATCATACCACATCTCCTTATTTTTATATAAATATATACAAAGATGTAGAAGTAGAAGAGCAATAACTCTTTAATCTTTCTTTTATTCCTTTAGCTGCCTGTGTTTTTGTTAAAGGAGATCTTTATCCGAAGAACAGAGTATGTACAGACAAAGCTTCCCCTGTGACTCCCTAAAGAAGCCGATCACTCCTACGGATACTCCTTTGTTTTATCTTGGCTATGTTTTTTCAGATATACGGTATGTGTTTTTCTCATAATTTTTTTGCCTATAATTACTTACGGTGACCTATAGTTGTTAATTTCTGTGTCATTTGGTCTCTTGTGGAGAGTTGTCTCATTGGCAATCATACCACATCTTCTTTTTTTATATTTACATTCACTTCATTTTAACTTTGGTGAATATTTGCCTCATTTCTCTTTATTTTTATATTGCAGCTACTGGTTTAAGCTCAATAAACTTAATAGTTTACACAAATTAGATGTGTAAATTACCTTTATGTTAGTTTTCTTCTTTTTTTTTGTTAAAACATGTACAAAATTCTTGCAATACATTATATTCTTATAACAATTCCATAATTAATGTGGAAAGTTTCATAATGTGAAAAGGTTAATTTTTACCTGAAATCTAAGTTTTGAAAGTTAAGAATGTTTTGATCATGAAGCAAATAATAAAGAGTATCATGATAATAACAGAAATTTTTCCACACATTCCAAATTTTGGAAATAATTTGAACAATCGCGTTGAGTGGACTGATGAATATGTGCCAGATCTACTCCTGGTTTCAATGTCCACGAGGAAGTCAATGGAGTCTAAAACTGGACCTGAACGGTTTCCTTCTTCGGCAGATTGAAACGATGCTTGGACCTTTTCAATTTTGTTTCTTGGCGAGGGCAATGATCTTTTACTAAACGGAGTTTTCAATACATTGGTATGTGGATTGTTAATAGTAGGTAAACTGTTTGATTTAACCTTCTGGTATGTCACGTGACAGCTACATTTAAACACTCCACACGACTGGTTAGGTTGGTGATCTTTTTCATTATGTTCTGGAAAAAGATGTAAAAGAATAACTCCTCGTGAAATAATTGGAAATATTAACATTAAGGAGACAATCAGCAAAATACAAAAAAATACGAAAAAAAGAGAGCGTTTCTTTTTTTTTTTTTTGGGGGGGGGGGCTTCTTAATTTTGTTTTGAGTGTCTTGGAAAATGATGGTTTAAAGGTTAAATAATACTTTAGAACTGGATACTGCTTGATATAAACTCTCGATATTAAATATTAATTATAGTTATTATAAAATTGATAATAAAAATAAAATTAAACTCGAGTTATTCTGTTTCAATAATACGAATAATAAATGAGCTTTGGTGAGTTTATTAGTATCAATAAAAATGAAATGACGAGTATTGCTATTGATAAATATAAAAATCATTATTTTCGGTAACTGTTCTTTTGTGTGGTCATTTTTTATTGTTCCGCGTAATAAGCTGAAAGACCTAAATTTTTAAATTGTTATGAGGTTTTGTCAATTATGACTACCTTTGTGTTGCTACATAAATGCAAATGTTCACCCTTTCTTAATTTGCTCGTCCACGATCGACCCAAATAAGGATAATACAGAAAATATCGCGATAACCACAAGGTTATAAACCGTTTTTATGGAGATCGGATAAAGCGTAATAGCCTTTACTAGTCAGCTTTGCCCTTACGAACAGCTAATAGAAATTTCACACTTTTCATTTAAAAATCAATCATAGTTTTTTTTTTCCAAACATAAATTTCTGAAAATGATTACCCGGCATCATGCAGTGGTAAAAACGTTTACTAAACATTGCATGACGAGTTCGTTGACCGTTATGGAATATCTGTTTCACAGATGACGACGAATATGTTCCAATTATCGTAACCACAATCCCGTGATACTTTCTTTGAATATGACTTACTGAATTAGACTAATCATCGAGTTGTACTTATATGAGCAACACGACGGGTGCCACATGTTTAACATGATCTATTTACCCTTCCGGAGGACGTAAGATCCCCCCGTATTTTGGTGGGGTTCGTGTTCCTCGGTCTTTTCTATGATGTGTTTTGTGTACTGTTATTTGTCTTTTGGTAGTTTTTCGTATTTTGCCATGGCATTGTCAGTTCCTTTTCGACGAATTAGTTTGACTGGCCATTTGATATCCTCCGCCTCTCCTTTTCAAGAATATTTATCACAAACCGTATTCTTGGGTTATCTTACTACATAAGGTGTTTGTCAATGTCGTCAAAAAAGTCATAATACACAAACTTTTAGAGGTAAATTTACTACTGATTCTTAATATTGAATATAGTTAAAATTAGTTTACCTGAATGTATATTGCATTCTTTCGGCGAATCTTCATTGCAGTTTCTGGAGTTTTGTCTCGACACAAAAATCTTGCACTTGTCGAAGGTACCCTACATAGTAAAATAGAATTTAGTAGAAACTGATTCGATAGAGTTAACAGGTTACGATTTTTATACTATTTTATCATGGCTTTGAACTCATGTGAAGTAGAAATCAAACACAATCTTCTCAAAGACAAATTGATTGATAAATTGTTTGATGGTCACAATTAGCACTTTTGACCAAACGCATCTGCCACGTGTGGGGTTCGAACTCACAACTTCGGTGTTAACAAGCTAGAGATGATAAGTTTCTTAAATTATTCGTCACCAAGGCCACAAAGACAAAAAGACAAAACCTATTAAAGTTCTTTAATTTCATTTTCAGACATATTGTTGTTGTTCTGTCACCCAGGAAATCATTTTCAATGTGTGCTTGCATCTCATATATCCTAGTGAACTTGGGATTAAGTATTATACCGAAACAAAAATGTCTGCTTCATATCTTGATCTTTCCAAGTAAAAGATGGGCAACTGCAAACTAGAATGAATTCAAACTTGATGACAACTATCCAATTGTCAACTTTCCATTTCTCAGCAGTAACATACCTTCTGTCGTATCATTTGTTGTTTACATATACCAATTGATACGTTTTGCAAATGCAGGTTCACACTATCAGGCTTCATTAGCGTGCTCATTGAAAAAAAAATGAGGAAGACCGGCTGAAATCGACCCTATAATAGTTTTATGGTCACCAACACAAAGTAGTTGACGGAAACAATATGCCTCTATCTCAACTCATTGCCGACATATTTTCTTTTAGATCTTTAGATACCAGATGTTTTAAATTGTGACATTTTGACTGATTATGGATTCGGATGGCGGGTACTGCATGCATATCAGGATATGCTGAACCTGTCGACGCACCCTGTCTTGCTCCTTTTGAAAGTTCATACGATTCCCTTAGTTTTTGTTGGTCACATTGAGTTGTTTTCTTAATCGATTTATGAGATTTGGAAATCGGTTAACTACTGTTGCGTTAATTCACTAAAGAATCTTGCCTCCTGACATCCTAGGTTATCTCCCTTACATGTCAATCTTTTTTTTTTGTAAAAATAAAATTGTCTGAATAGGCAAAAGCCGCGATTTGTTCATGCGGTTGGTAGTTGGTACACTCCTTATTGATAATATGAAAAATGCATGAACAATAAAGGCAACAGTAGTATACCGCTGTTCGAACAATTAGCCCAGTTCAGTTTAACTAAGCTAAGCACTACAACATGTTCTGTCTAAATGATAGTCATGTAGGAAGATAGATGATATAATTTAGATACCTTAAAATAGGTCTAAGGATTTTTTTTAATGAAATGGCAGTTTTGAATTGAACCGATCTATCAATATTCAATTATATTAAGTCACACATGAAATTTTCAGAACTCAGAGCGACAAAGACAGTAGTGTTGCGTTCAATTTAGATCTGGTCAACTTTTTTCAGTACTAACGTAAACTCTCATCATAGATACTGTAGATAAACGTTTCTTACCTGTTAACAACTTCAATTGTTTATGATTATATATTCGAGATGATATTGATGATTTTTTATTCAACATCTAAATGACTGTTAAGGACAAAAAATAATTGACAGATAGTAGTTAAATTAAAATAATACGAAACAAATTAAACAAATGAATAAATACGTATTTCTAAGTTAACGGCCAACATTAGTAAGAGTGCAAAGATGTATCTTATTGTAAATGTATTTTGTAAAATGCCTGAAAACTTTAGACATATTCTAAAATCCTTGTATGATTCGGGCATTTTACATATTGACTAATTTTTGCAGACATTTTACAAAATGCCTGAAACGATTTTATAGAATGAAATATTCACAAAAAATAAGAACTTAAAATTATCGAATAACAAAGCAGTTTTATCTATGATAATTACGGAATTTTAAAGCTTGCATTTTAAGATTTAATAATTAAATATAAATGCTACTGAATTATTTATAATTCTCACAAGCACCAAATGTAACACTTATTTGTTATTTCATATAATTATTGGATGGCAGGATCTGTTACACATTTGTGCTGATGTTTTTGAAAATACATCGTTTGTCGCAAAATCTGGTCCTGACACTTCAAACCCGGACCATCACACATTCAGCTTTGTGAATACTTTTTCTGATAAAAAAAACCTAACGTTCGACCAACATTGGGATTCGCAAAATGCAAACACATGAATATCTTCTTTTGCATATGTTACTATCAGATTCAAAGTCATATTAGCATGATTAGGTTGACTGACAACTTTTTGCTTATCAGAGCATCTAACAGACTATAGCAGATATCCATAACAGCTAAAGACGCTTATCCTGTCGATGCACCTTTATTTGTCTCTCCTTGTTCGATCTTCGAGATTTTAACAACGGACAACTACTGTATCATTTATTCATTAGACCCAAGTATTCCCCTGAGTCATTATAGTTGAAGATACTAATATCTTTGCATCACAACCAAACACGGCCTTATATGGTGAAAACCATGTTATGTAAAGAGGGGAATCCAATTGGCTGTGTAGAATGTACAATTCGAGGTAACTTTTCTGTCCCTAGCTATCCATCATACCTTCATTTCAAGAGGCAGTCAAAATTTCTGTCCTTTATCTTGGTCAATCCATTGCAGAACTTTCCTCTTTTATTTATCATTAATTTGTTCTCGTCTTAGATATGCATGAAATTTTTGCTACTGAACGCGAACAAACAACCATTAGTCAATAAAACAACATGCTTTTTTTTTCTGTGCTATATATTTAACCCTTTTGTTTTGAATCTACATTTTCTTAAATTTACTGTGTAAACTTTGTTCAATTATAAGAACAATGTGTCCTTCTGTCATAATGACAAGAAGATCATCAAATTATCTGAAATACAGAGTGGGTACATACTTAACACAGTTTTATTTAATAGAATACAAACTTTCCTAGCTTTACAAAATGCCTTAATTTAGAAAATATCTATATTGTTTTTGGGGTGTGTTTATTTCGTCCTGAAAATTCAACAATGGATTCCATATGATGCAAATATAGACTTTTTAGAGTACAGGATTTTATATGCAAATTGAATTCCAAAATAAATGCCATTCATTGTAATATATAATTATATAATGGCAAACATTGTTTACTCACCTTATCAACGACGCCCAAACGCCGATATTCTGTTTTCATTTTTTCCAGTCGAACTCCATAAATAAGCTTTTACACATATAAATTATTTCCAGCTTATCAACCCAGTTGTGTGTTCAAATTTATAATAACACTTTACAAATAAAGAGAGACAAAAAGTACAGAATTCCAGAAACACGCCCATTTGCCTTTTTTGATATTTAGATCAACGACTCACACGTAGTTGATTTACAAAGTCATGACATTAATGTGCGTGGACAAAAAAACTGATTAACACGTTTGTTCAATTGTTTAAGAGAACGTCATACGATTTGTTTTCACGGATGTTTACGTTGTTTGAAAATTTCATTTGCATTTCAAATTAGTTATTTCATTTAACAGAAAAGATATATCATTCTAATTCTTTTTGTATAAACAATAGTGGCTTCACTTGCTTTTACGTTCAATATTAAATTCACAAATATCCTTCTATATTTTCTTTGTAAATAATACAGACCTATTACTTGAATAAAAGTATTTGGAATAGAAGTCATTTGCTTTTTTACCCAATGCCAATTTGCTCTTAAAACAAAACAAAATATGTATATTATAAAAGACCGGTATTGAATTGATGGTTCATATTAGACTACATGCCACTTCGGTTCCTCTTCGTGTTCTTTTTCACAATGACTTAGGTAATGGAAATAATCTTAGAACAATAATTACAACTACTGAGTTCTGAGTTATGAATTAAGATTTACGGACCTTAAAATCTTCGTAAAATTGAGTTACATCATTTTAAACCAATATAAAAATGTAAAAAGTGAATGTTCACATGTTCATTGTGGATATGTCGTTTTTGTCTCTTTTGACATAATAAGAATAGAGCTTCTTTCATTTACTTTCACGCATTTTATTTGGCCCCATTTTGTTAATTCGAGCAACACTGAGGAGTCTTTTGTAGATGAAACGCGTCTTATAAGCCTGGTATCTTTAATGAGTTTATTTTATCGAACTTAAGTTTAAAAACATGATAGGACTGCAAAAAGACAAGTAATCATTATGCTTTATACTAGTAATCTAATTGTATTGATGGTTGCGTTAAGAAATGTGGAAATTTAATGCTTATAACTTCAACTTAAAAAAGATATGTTTAACTGAGTCCATTTCGATTGTCTGCATACATCTGCATTTATAGCAGGAAATATTATCCTGTTGACGAGCCTAGTCTCGTTCCCTTTAAATCGGTTAATACTGTTGTTTCTTATCATCTATCCCTCAATGGAATTATACTTCATTCAAATATAGAGTAGATTATGGTACATAACAAACCACTTTCTAATAGTTTAAAATCAGTTTGTGTTTGAAACCTAAATGTTGTAAAGCTGGCAACATCTATGAACAAAAATGTGTTTGCATAATGCCATTCAACTCTTTCTCCTGCATTTAGTTCTTAATTTGAGATTACAATTTTGTCATGCGTAGTGAACTCTAGACGGTTGAAGGTTGACTTGGTCCTTTTCGTTTTTATATTCACAAATGTTCTAAATTGTTTGCTTTTCTAAAATTTTGGTCTCGATTGTACCAAATAAATGTTATTTCAAATAGTACGTGTGGATATCGGTAGCATACGTTACTTGTTTTCGAGTAATTGAAAATTTTATAAACGGTAAATTTACTGAAAATGAACATTTCATTGGTATTTCATGTCACACAGAAAGGCTTAGTAACCATGGTAACATATGTATGCAATTAAGTGTTGCAGAATTTTCTGATATTTTTGTATTGCGTGCATCGGTGTTTCATGAAAATTGTTTAACCCTTTTTGATGGGTATAACTAAACTCATGATAGATACCAGGCTTAACGTCGTGTACGCAAGCCGCTTTTTGTCTACAAACGATTCATCAGGAACGCTCGAATAAAAAAAGTCTAAAAGGTCAAATAAAGTACGAAGTTAAAAACCATTGAAGAGCCTAAATTCCGAAAGGTTTTGCCAAATACAGCTAAGGTAATCTATTCCTGTGGAAGAAAATCTTAAGTATTTCGAAAAATTCAAAACTTTGTAAACATTTTATATTTATGATTATCAACATATCAACGATTATTCATGTCAACACAGAAGTGCTTACTACTTGACTGGTGATAAGATACCAGAAACAGACATGTGTATGAAATGTGCAGAACTGAAGGTGAACATCATTATAAAAACTTTAAAAGGCTACCAGTATTATAATATTTAACAAGATTATGCTCAATAACTTAACTTTTCCGTGTATCAGGAATAAGTAATTGCATAAACTGATCCTCCAAAAAACTAACTTGCCCATTAAAACGTGATGTGTGTGCTATCATTGATATTTCAGAATTTTCAGTAAGTAAGAAACGTCAAGCATCTTATCTCTCTAATCTGGCTACAAGATAAATACAAAAGTAAGTCTGCTTTCAAACGAAAATTCTTTTTCGGGCATCCTCTGTAGTTTTCAATGATTTACTTTGTTCACTTACATGTTGAATGATGTATGTTTTACATTAGCTGGTCATGATCCTTGCATTACATGACCGTTTTTCAATAGATGTCTCAATGATTCCTGTTTATTATATAAATGTGTGTATATGTATATATATAAAAAAAAAATAAAGTTCAAAATGCTCTTGACGAGTTCTGTGCCACAGGGCAGATTATCATCAAAAAGTACAAAACAAGCTTAAATAGATAAGACGCAACTTGTGTAATGGTTACGTCCCTTTTGTGCATTGTTACGGACTCACGATGGTGAAGTTACGTTACTATTGTCTTCATTAGTTACATGATCATGCATGATTATCGCAAAGATGTGAAACCGGTTGGAGAAAAAAGTAATGAATTAAAGAACTTAAAGAGCATTTTGAACTCTGATTTTTTATATTTCTACTTGTGTGGACGCAGAATTTGATTTTAAGTATATATGTCACGATATCCCAATACCATGAGTTCGAATCCCGGCGAAGGAAGAACCAAAATTTGCTTTCGCAAATTTGCAGATTTAACATTGGTGTGCTGATATTTAGAGTAATTATATATATATATATATATAAATGTTACCGAGGCCCCTTATAATGGTGGATATACCTTTCAAAAAACATTTTTAGGGGTAATATCAATACACCAGTTTCACATTTAACTGCGCATGTCTAACCTAATTAGCCAAACTGTGAAATCACGCGATAATTCCCGAGAATATATCGACTGGGGGCTTACGGTTGATGTAAGCAGTGACCATGCAGACCAGAAAAAAACAATCACCTGATTAAGTGTTTGCGTTTATATGTACATGAGCATCATTTGAATCAAAATATATATTGACGAGACAACTTTATTAACAATGACACATTAAAAGATTTTTAAACGGACTACTGTTGTGTTTTAGGTTTAAGTAATAGACGATCTAATATGCCGCCTGACTTTGTACCTTTAATTGTCACGAAGAAATGCTTGGATTCCCGCTGAGGTCGTTCACTTAGCGGGAAGAATAAATTAGAAAAAAATAAGCGGGGGTCACTTTATATCCATATATTAGGTCATTTATCAATTAAGAAGTCAATTAACACCTTCGCCATGTGGAACCCTAGTTTTACCTTGTACAATCTCACCAGGTGACAATTGATAAAAACGTACCCTTTTCTACATACAGTTGCTGAAAAGGGGACGACCATTTGATATTCTGACGGAAGCCAGAGGGATTTTTTTCGGATTGAATATTCATCGTCATCTGTTGCTACCTGTGAATATTATACTGTCAATCACGATTTAATGTCCCAGTTGCTACGCATTCTTTTTCTTTTTTTGCTGCGCGAAAATTTATTTTACTTTTGTACACAATTATTTCCTGCATTTTGTGATGCAGATTTTTCTTTTTCATCAGCAGAATATTCAATTACTGATAATGATATCTTATTGTAACTAAATTCATTCATTATTATCAGAATAAGTAAATAGATAATTTTTACATAACAAGAATTTTACTAGTACTACGTCCGAAGGATATGTCCACATTTTCTGATTATTTACATCCCAACTCCTTTGTTCTAACAGGGGTGATCTGAATCGGATCACCCCTACCAGATCACCCTACCTTGAGTTTCTTTGTTCTGCATGCTTTCTTTTGTTCTGAAACATTTTGGCGGGAATGTCGAACACACAATAAAACTTAGAAATATTTAATCGGAAAAAATCCTCTTAATTTCCAGTGTCTAAGCGGGGAATTGAACTCAAGACATTTAGCATCTGAAGCCACGATTCATACCCCTACACCAGGACGACTGGATACAAACACCGTTAATTTAACATATTTAAACGTTGTATCCGTGGCTCATAAAGGGTATATACTATATAGTAATTCTGTATATAAAGTATATTATAATTATTGTATGGAATTCTGAACTAGATGTTATGAAGCGTAAATGTTTTTTCATATAGTCTAGAAGAGCTGGGATGTAAAAAAGTTATCCCATTCGGACTTGGTGTGTCAGTGTAAGATCACACACCGGCCTCCGGCCGTTTGGGTGATCTTACAATGACACACCAAGTGTGATAACTATTACAAAACCAAATGCATGTTCTCAAGAATATATAATTGCATTACCTGTTCTAAGAGACACTCAAAATGTTAGAGCGTTGAAATACAATATGTTATGAGTAAGTAAATGTATACACGAACGCATGATGATTAATCAATATAAGTAATGACAGCTGTATAAAAAAAATTAATATTGAAAAAAACTACATCATTTGTTACAAAAATCTAATGCGCATGTCTTTCTACATGATTAAAATCCCTGTACATGTACAATACATAATAGCTACGTTCGCCGTGACAAACATACTGCGTACTGGTATCATCTGTTTACCTGCCACCAGCACACACTAAGAGAGAGAGAGAGAGAGAGAGATGTGTATTATCGGTATTTATTATTGTGTTGCCAAATATAAGGGTAAATTGGATAGCCTCTAGCCCGAATGATTCAGTCTCTCCCCGTAATCGATCTCTCCTACTTGTAATCGTAGATCAGCGGAATATAACGACTGAATTATTCGGGTTAGATAGCCCCCTGTCACGTATGATATCGTTAATTATCGCGGGATTTAACCTAAAACGCGCATATGATTTCGAGATCAGGGTTGATAAGTCGCTTATGTGAAACTGGTCTATTCACTCAAAGTTACCATTTGTGCGACATTTTTTACAACATTTCTTTAGCTAGGAGCAAAATCACCAGCAAGCAGAGAGTTTGGTAAAATGCTTATTTAATGTTAACATGTTGGTTCTTGAGTGACAGGACATTATCAATCTATCTAAAACTAAAGTTGAAGAACTTTGCACAATATTTTCACGATAAGTTATATGAATCTGCTTCATATGAGTACAAAGACAAATTGGACAGTAGGGATGCACAGTATGTACCCATTAGAATACTGACTGTCTGTTGAAAATTAATGCACCAAACTCAACAAATATGTTGTCGGTCTAAAAGTCCAACATTTTGATGATATTATCTTCTGTGTATTTTGAAACATTACTTCACAATGAAAACTTACTCATTCCCAGGGCCTGAAAGAGAAATGTGTATCAACGATTCCCTTTTTTTGTAGAATAAGCTCAATTAAATTAGAATATTTATTAGATATTTAGATAATTGAGCATGGGGAATAGTAGTGTAAAGAGTAGCCAGTAAATAGTAGTAGCGTAAAATGATAATTGGGTCCGTTCATCATTCGTCCCTGCGTTAATCGACAATATGTATTCGTAACTTCAAAACCAATGTTTTGATTTTCTTGAACCTATCAGCATGAACAGAAGATCTTCAGTACCTCCTGTCTATTTTGCTATGTTTATTTTTATTCAATGTTAATATTCATTTGTGTTTATTATGATGATTGGATTTTAAGTTTCACATAGACAAAACCTTGATACAACATTTTCTACAAACAATAAAAATGAGGTAGGCATCTGTATATGCAACTCTACTTTCGTAGTTTGAAATGGAATAACAGAATCAGATTTCCTGAACGTTTTTATGATAAATTTGCAAGAGACTTTAGTAGCTTTTGTAAACTACGCAAAATCTCTTGCATCACAAATGTGTATAACGGTAATACCATATGTCGACATTTGAAATGGGATATAAATTGTCTTCCCAATAACCTAATATAACTCGAATGTTTTGAATTAAGACAATTTTAGATAAATTCTAAACTCTATTAAAGACTTTCAGGAATTGCCAGATGAACAGAATTTAGACAGTAAAATCCTGAAACAGATTCTGACAGTTTTGTCTTAGATTTATAGTTCTATAGTATAACAATTCTATGGCTGATTATTCTGACAATGCCGAAGATTAAAACAAATTCCAACTGAATGGCTCTTAAGGTAGATCATAAGTATATATTTTTTTAGATAGAAATTTCTTATACTTTGCCAAAATGAAGATTTTACTATGCTTTTTTCAAAATTATAATAAAAAGTATGGGTCACCGTGCTATTTTCCAAGCTATGAGTCGTTGAAAATTGCCTAAATTTGGTTAGATTGTTCATGAAAAAAACACATTTGTGTGCATAAAAAAAAATTCTATGAGATAGAATTTTGAAATAAACTGTGAGAAGATAGGTTTAATAATATGGTTCAAGAAAATTTTAAAAAAAAAGGGTGTCACCGAACTTGTTTTCTTGCTACAAGTAAAAATTAAAATTTCCCTATCAGTCTAGTATAATTTTTTTACTAAAAGAGTTATCTCCCCTTAAATGGCTTATTTGAAGAAAAAAATGATTCTAAAAATACAAATTTTGATATTTGTTTAAATATTTTGATTAATACAATAAATCACCAAGTTTTCTTTATATAAATAAATAGTCTAACCATAAGATTGCAAATCTGTCTCCAAATTTGCAGGTTTGGTCAAATAACTAGACCGATTTTGTTCTGCGATTGTACAATCCAAGATGGCGGTATACCATGAATCAACCTTAAGTACATGTAGGCTCAAAGAAAGTGTAATAGTACATCTGTCTGTTTGTAGGTGGGTTCGGTTGTAGTCTTTCCAATGTTCATTGAATTTCGACTGTTAAACCATGTAAACTAGAATAACCTAATAAACTTGGTGCAACTGAAGCGGGTTTTTTTTTTCTAAATGTATCATCATCAGAAATGCTCAAACCCAATAATTTGAAGCCACTTCACTCTTTTCTAGGAAAATACTTTCAAAAACGTTCCTCAAAGTATTTTGGCTGGATTATTAGGTCCCAAACAATGGATCCCGATATTCAACAAATAGCGTTACGTAATATTTATTAGGTGTCTTTGGACACCCGGTTTCAGGTGGGGTTCGCGTTGCTCAGTTTTTCGTTTTCTACTTAGTGTTTTGTAGACGGTGATTTTTTCTGTTCGTCTTTTTTGGGGTTTTCTCCATAGTGTTGACAGTTTTTCATCAACTGATGAACTTTGATTATTTTCTTTGGTATCTTCCGCCTTTTCTTTTCTCTAAGTTTCCACGCATCTCCTGATTCTGGACGAGATTCAGAAAGGCTATAAAATTATCTAAACGTCATTTTCACTACAATGGTCATAGTTCTAGATGTATTTTAGAGTAAAAGAATAGAAGTTTTGAATCTTGTCATTCATTCTTATATTAGCTGAAATGGGGGTATATAACTGCTTGAAAAAAATACAACTTTGAAATTATTTTTTTATTTATTTATTGAAAAATGGTAAAAAGTAGTGAACTTTGGTAAATAGAAAAAAAATAGATACATGTAAAATAGTGCAAATAACATATGTAACAGGCATTTAAATTAAAATATGTACATGTAATATACAAAGATTTTGTAATACTTGCAACTGAAAAAAATATTAAAACTGTTATCAAGAAGACAAATGGAATACACAACATGTTATAGGTTAAGAGTAAATATGAAAAAAAAAGATTATCAAACAAATCTATACTTATGTATATTTTTGAACATGTTATGAAGTATCGTCAATTCCATGCCAATAAATTAAATTATTTTTCATCGAAGAAATGAACAAGAGGAAAGTATAAACAAAGGGATGGAAAAGTAAACATTTGTAACTTTCATGTAATATGTCCCTTATTTTATCATTGGTAGTTTTTTTTTTTCAAAACTAAGTGTAAGAGAGGAGCACAGCAATCTACAATCAATAAAATGTATTAACAACACAACTTTTCGGCCATTAGGGAAGCCGGACCCTCTCGGTAACCCCTCCCCCGAATTGCTTAATATTTGCAATTTGACCTATTTTTTATGAAAAACATATATTTTGAAATAATTTGTTTTATTTTGAAATATTCAATATACAATTTGCAAGACTTTCGCAAAACTTTATATAATCCGCAATTGTACACGTGTAATTTATGCCGGGCAATCCATACTTTTAAATTACTGTGAGCATATTAGTACATCAAATTCCTAAAATTTGATAAGTTACTGTTAACTGTGTACTTTCGTTTGCGTTATTTTGGTTTTGAGAAGTGATTAGCACATACTGTAAATTCAGAAATTATTGTGTTGTTTTTATTTATGCGAATAATCCGACCGGATGAGTATCGCAATAATAAGAAGTCGCATTCTGGTATCTGATGCATATATCTGTATGCATCGTTTCCTGAAATCCCAATAATTATTCCCGCATTTATGCCCTTTCTTCAATAATTGCAACAATAAATGCACGCAATAATTTCTGAATTTACAGTAATCGTATTCAAAATGTATTGTGACTGAAATTTTGTAATGGAAAATCGTGTACTTAATTGAGCATTTTAATTTGCATTCGAAACAAATAAAAAGAAAGTTGAGCAAGATACAACATAAAATATTTACAAAAAAATGTAGTAGATTTTTTTAAAATGAAACAGAGAAAAATCAAATACAAAAAACCATCCTTCCACAACGTATCTCACTTGTAGCCTAGTGATGTCAACAATATGTCGTCTCTTAGAAAATGAAAATCTTTTTTTTGGAATTATGACAAATAAACAGTACTGTGTAAATGCATTGACTTGTATTTCGTTCTGGTTCTTTCTTGTCACTCCAGGTTTCGGACTTGCATGCATATAATAAAAACTGTGTTCAAAATTAAAATTGAATCAGTTATTCTTTCTCGGATTTCGTCCTTGTTTGCCATGATAAAAACAGAAAACCCATTTTTACCGGAACTGAGTTGTACCGGGATTTTAATCATCGTCTAATTGCAATTGGTTCATCTATTTCTAAATCATCCAATTCTTCGTTCAAATTGTCGGCTTTCCTTTTATGAGACGAAAATAGAAACACACATCCTGCTCCCAGGAAAATGACAAAACATATCCAAGATAAAACAAAGGAGTATCCGTAGGAGTGATCTGCTTCTTTAGGGAGTCGCAGGGGAAGCTTTGTCTTTGCATACTCTGTTCTTCTGATAAAGACCTCGTTTTCAACCAAAACACAGGCAGCTAAAGAAATAAAAGAACGGTTAAAGAGTTATTGCTCTACTACTTCTTCATCTTTTTATATTTAGTTGGTTGTCGGTAGCTATTCATTTAATAAAACTTTCCTTAGTTTTTTTTAAACCATTACAAAAAGTCTTCTTTCAAGTTCATTTGAAGGGGAAGACTTTTGGAGATTCTTTAAATAAGAAATATTGTGTTTACATCCCACCTTAGCAGCAATATACCAACTTCACCTGCATCTAGATATACTTACTGGAGGTTGATGAGATGATTGAAGCTGTTAATTTTCTCCTTGATAATATTTATGTACGTTTCGGCAGCAAAGTTTATCGACAGGTTGTAGGTATTCCTATGGGCACTAATTGCGCCCATTTAATAGCAGACTTGTTTTTGTACTGTTATGAATCACAGTTTATGACCAAACTCAGTAAAGACCCGTCTAAATTGCATTTAATTGATAAATTCAACAACACTTACCGTTATCTTGATGATATTTTTCGTTAAATAATCAAGAATTTTCTCAATATACTGCCGAAATTTACACAAAGGAACTTACTTTAAATAAATCTTATTTAAACGGTAACAACTATCCTTTCCTAGATTTAGATATTTCGGTATTACACGGGAAACTCCACACTAAAATTTACGACAAAACGGACGATATTTCGTTCCCTATTGTTAATTTTCCCTTTTTGGATGGTGATGTTTCTTTGGCACCATCTTACGGTTTTTATATTTCACAACTCGTTCGCTATGCCCGTGTCTGTTGTGACGTTTTTTTATTTTAATGAACGTAATCTATGTATTACTGGTAAATTATTAAGCCAGGGATTTCTTTACCACAAATTACTTAAAACTTTTACTAAATTCTTCCACAGATATAAAGATTTGGTTTTGAAGTTTGGTTGTACCTGTAGAAAACTTATTTCAAACGGGATTGCACATCCTCATTTTTACGGAAATATTGTTTACCGTGCCCGGAAATTTAGAAACGTTCCTGGTAAACTTATCGATCCTTTAAATAAACTTATTCTTAAAGGTTACCAATTCAACACTGTAAATAGATCATTAAATATTGTTTTTATTGGTACTAATATTGATTTTGTTATCAGTAAATTAAAAGCAAAATAAATATTATTGTTATATACATATACACATTCATGGATCTACAATCTGTTGCAACCTGTATCTTGGCATTGCACAAGGTCATGTTTTTCTCTGACTGTTTATGACGTCTTTACACTAAATCCATTGGATGTTGGATGTGTACGGATTGATAATTAAGTCTTAGATGCATGATTTTTTATTAGTTGTTAGTGGATTTGAACTAGCTGTCAGTAACTGCGAGTACTCTCAGATCTGTACTTAGTGTCTTTTTGATGTTTGGATGTACAAGTACCCGGCCACGTCCACTTGTATTTGTAGTATTTGTATTTTTATCCATCTGATGAGTTAAGCCTCTTTCAACTGATTTTTATAGTTCGTTCTTATGTTGTACTGTTACACCACTGTCCCAGGTTAGGGAGAGGGTTGGGATCCCGCTAACATGTTTAACCCTGCATCATTCTGTATGTATGTGCCTGTCCCAAGTCAGGAGCCTGTAATTCAGTGGTTGACGTTTGTTTATGTGTTACATATTTGTTATTCGTTCATTTTTTGTACATAAATTAGGCCGTTAGTTTTCTCGTTTGAATTGTTTTACATTGTCATTTCGGGGCCTTTTATAGCTGACTGTGCGGTATGGGCTTTGCTCATTGTTGAAGGCCGTACGGTGACCTATAGTTGTTAATTTCTGTGTCATTTGGTCTCTTGTGGAGAGTTGTCGCATTGGCAATCATACCACATCTTCTTTTTTATATATAGGATATACATTTCCAAATAATTCGGTATTCAAGGGCTTGCATCTGCTACTCAAGATTTTATAAAACGTCACCAGTGTCTGAGCAGAAAGTTGATGAACCAGGGTTATGTCCTTTTTCTAAAAAAAAGGTTCATCGGAAGAAAATCTTAATTATGTGTTATAATGATCGTTTATTTGTCTTTGTATGTTATTAACCTTTACTGTTTAGTTCATTTTTGGTAATATCCTTTTGGCGTGGCTCGGTTTTTATACATCCCGCCATTGCGTTATCGTGCTTTTGTCATTTTTTGTATTCTTGTCTTTCATTTTTGCTTATGTGCTTTGTCTATATGTCTTTTTTTTTTCTTTTGTTGACATAGTTGTTTGTTTTTGTAGTGATTAAGATTAAAACACAATGTTGACTGCTGTACCCCAATTTTTGACATTTTCACCTATTATGTCTGTTTGTTTTGTTCACACATTGTTGTCAATATCATGGAATTTTATGCGACTGTCATACAAGTGAGCGGTTTAGTTAGCTACAAAACAATGTCTAATCCACCATATTCTACATAAGGAAATGACTGTATAAAGTCAGGAATATGACAGTTGTTTTCCATCGTTTGATTTGTTTGAGTTTTTGATTTTGCCATTTGATAAGGGACTTTAGGGTTAGAATTTTCCTTGGAATTCTTTTTTTTTTGTTTTGTTATTTTACTTTTTTCCATTGGTCACTAGTGAAACAAAAGTATGGACACATGTATACCACGATTCGAGATGATTCTGTAACTTCTAATCAAAGTAATCTCCCCTCAAACGTAAACAAAAAAGATTTTTCAGTATCCTTTAAATAAAACAACAAATCGATTTCATGTTGAAAAGACACGCTCTTTTAAACTTTTATCATTATAAACAAGATAATTCAATTCACGGCACTTAATACTTTAGAAACTGATTGTTTTGAACGTACCAAGGTCAATGTATTACAGAAGTCATTAGTCTGGAAATGCAAGTATTCAACGAGTATATTTCGATTGAAACATCATAGAATTTATGTATGACCAGCTAAATGCTAATTGGAGTAGGAATAAACGTAGATGTAACTCAACGACAAAAAAAACATCTAGTCTAGTCTAGTCTAGTCTAGTCTACAGTTCTCATCAATTGACAAATCGTCACGAGTTTCTTATAAAAGTTGTGTGAAAAGAGCCCGATTATTTGTTTTTTTTCAAATACCAACCTTCCCCCTTCTTGTACGTATGTCAAAGCAACAAGACAGAATTTAAAAACATGAACAAAATAAAATTATTTTTACATTTTTGATTTTTAAGGACGCTGATTTTAACAAATTCCTTTAAACCAAAGACATTTTACTAAATCGGCTTTCGAATTTTTCAAGAAAGCAGCTAATGCAAGGGAATTAATGAAATATTTATTAAATTTATGCATGCATGTGTGTCTATTGTGATATAATCATTTTTAAAGTCCGTGTTTTATTTGTGCTTTTAACTTTCAGTTAGAGGTAAATTCAGACAATTCTGACAAAGAATAATTATAAAACATTTTTGTTTGCTAATTTCATTCAACCCTTTTGTCATATAAACTCTCGAAATGATGTATTTTTTTTATAATAAAATCGTTTAATAACAGGAATCGCCAAATATAACAACCAGTATGACAGACCATACCAACCCCCGACTCCTCCCAAAAAGACAAACAATAAAAGACAAACAAAAACGAATATTTGTCGTTTAAACAGGATGATACAAAAGAAATAGTCCTTCAACCGTAGTAACCTCCTACTTATTTAATTCCCCGTTACACCATACACCATTTCTCATTTACCATACCTTATTGTCCATTTACCATACATCATACACTTTTCCCCACTGGCCACAGACCACAATTAATTTCTGCTATTAGTTCTTTATAACGTTTGTCTCATTAAAAAATTGCACCAAGTCTTTTTGTCAAATCTTTTGTGTGTGTAATGTACAGAACTAGTCCAAAAAATATATCCAACATTCACGAAGATTGCACTTTTACAGCTTACAAATTTAGCCAATACACATCCATACCCCTATAGACAAGTCAAGAGATGTTCCGAAAACTGTAAATATAAACTTTTTGCACCTGGCCTAATCACTCTTTCCATATCAAAATCAGTTAAAATACAACATTCAAAAATTTATTTCAGCTCTCTTCTTTCATTTCTACCCCATAAAAACTAAGAAATGAATGAGAAAAGGAAAAAAAAATAAAGAAAAAATACACTTTAATTAAAGGGAACTATATCAGTCATTAATTGTGGTCTTGGGCCCACTACACCGTCAAGTTTTATAGTGAAGTTTGCATATATCAAGCGCTGTATAATATTTTGTGAGAAGTCACAAGATTAACGCTCCTATCCGACAAGTTTACTTACAGGATAACAAGATTATCTAAATTTTCTGCTATATATGCCCTCTTGTTAATACATGTACCTACATTTTTGAAAGCCCACTTGGGCAAATAAAAGGATTCAGAATACTTAATTGTCTTTAAATAAAAAATCATATAGCAAATTCTTTAATATGTGCCTGGAAATACTCATTTACTTGTAGAACATATTTTAGGGATATTTAATCAAGTTCGCCTGATTGTTCGGTATAAAATAAGCAGATAGTGGCAACACTAATGATGTAAGGCGTAACAATAACGAAAAACTATATTTTAGGAATTGCGTATTATATAATCATATCATAATATTAACAAAACATCCGTTTAAGGTTGGTTACAAATATGTTATTAAATATCAATACTTGCTCCTATACATCTTAACTAGTATATTTGATCCTTTATAGTCTTTCTGTCAAATAAATAATGCGAGTTTAGAAAGGATTCTTCCTCTACGTGTCATTATAAAATCTATTATTCCCAAAAGCTGATTTGCTTTGCGATTTATAAGTCTGCTATCATGATATATTGTATTAAATGTGAGTAATCTCTCCGATATTTAGGAATTTGTATAGATTTATATTGTCGCAGATGTACTTATTTCATGTAATCTGTTTGAAGACTCGGATTGATGAGTATTTTTTTTCAATTCGTGTTTTAACATGACATAGATAACAGGTAAATTTGTATAGCTCTTTTTGATATGCCAATTTCTTGAATATACTGACAGTAGATTCAATAAATAGTTTATCTCCAAAGCTTAATTCTATGGCAATTTGTTGGTTAATATATGATTTTAGTTATTTGTCCATATTACGCCTGTGTTGTTCGCTTAATATAAAAATAAGGAGATGTGGTATGATTGTCAATGAGACAACTATCAACCAAAGTTCAAATGAAGTGGATGTAAGGCAACCATACGGCCTTCAACAATAAGAAAAAAAAATCATACCGTATAGTCGGCTTTTATAGAATCAAAGGACCGACATGAAAAATATGAAACAATTCAATTGAGAAAACTAATGGCCTAATTATGTATAACAAAACAATTTACGAAAAATAAATATGACAGACATGAACCAATGACAACCACTGAATCACAGGCACATAAAGAATGTGGCGAGGTTAAACATGTTTGAAGGCGCCAACCCTCCTCCTAACCTGGGACAGTGGTGTAACAGTACAGCATAAGAACAAACTGTACAAATCGGTTGAAGAGTGCTTAATTCATCAGATCGATACGAATCAGAAAAAAACATTTTTAAAAAACACAGACTGGACGTGGCAGGGTATTTATACATCCCTGAAAACAAAATAAGACACAAAGTACAGTTTTGATAGTACTCGCAGTTACTGACAACCAGTTCAAATCCAATAAGAACTAATAAAAAAATCATGTATTTAAGACTAAAATATCAATCAGTTCACATCCACCATCCAATGGATTTAGTGTAAAAATGTCATCAACAGTAAGAATAAAACATGACCTTGTGCAATGCCAAACTATAGGTATATTGTCTTTTTTCATTTTTTTTTCTTTCGTTCGTGAATTTTTACAGTGTGAATTCGCATGGCGAATGAAACATGCATAACAGTAGACGCTTACCCTGTCGAAGAACCCGTGTTTTGATCATCGGTAGACTACTGGTGCCTCTCATTAGTTCTACTTATAACGCGAATGGTAATATATCTAATAACTGTTATTTTACCTTTTCTGAACATGTGTTTTTTGGAAGTTATTTGCATCATAATCTATTCGGAAGTTATTGATATCATATTAAATTCTATTCGCAAGTTATTTGTATGATAACTCTTTGGAACATTTTCATGTTAACCAACTTGTTCTCCCATGCTCATAGAGTAATTAAAATCATTAGTTCTTGATTGTTATTTGTAGTTTTACCTGTCATAAAATGAATTAAAGCTGTCAGTCGCTTCACTATGTATCTAGGCCTTCTAAGGGCATAAAATGCAAACATGTGACCAATCACCATAACTGTAACGGCGATAATTCCAAAAGCTGTCCCTGTGCGCATATAATCTACAAGACAGAAAAGGCAAACATTTAAAAAAGATTATACATGTAGTAGGATTAAGGGTGTCAGTTGTTAGACAAACAACTCATTTCATCGCCCAAGTGGTCTCGTGGTAGCGTGCAGGCCTCAACCACGTCATCATCATCATCATCATCATCAGCAGCAGCAGCAGCAGCATCGCAACTAATTCGATTACATTATACCATAAGTATATAAAATTGACAATTCAAAGAAACGGTCAGCGTTATTGATTATTTTATGGTTTTCACTTTAATTTTCTATTTCCTTTCTGTTATCAAATCTTAATCTTGTTTTTGCGGTTTCAGATTCCAAATTTATTTTTGTCTCGAACATTATTGAAGAGTGCATGTATAGCATAGCTTTGAAATATTTTAATGAATATGTTCAATTATTTCTTATACGAAGATAATATTCCTTTGAATTGACATTTCACCCAAGCGATCAGTGGCACCCCCAATAATTATGACAGTTTTCTATTCATATATATGTTATGATAGAATACAATAGAAACACATGGTGTTAAATTTAAAGAATACTGAAAAAAGACCTCCCAATCCAGACTCTTATATATATAAAATATGATTTCTGAAAGGTTAGCATCATAATATCAAACTCCTCTCTCCGAAATGCTCTTCGCGTGTCTACATTCACGTGATTCTATCATTTTACTCTTTTTATCCCTTAAATCCATTGGTCAATAAATTGGTCAACTTCAATCAATCAACCTGTTTCGTGTCTCAAAGTTGCAACATCATCACACCATATATATATACGATGTTTATATAAAATGGTGTGCAAAGTTCTGTAATTAGCCTTCCTACTCTGATCTCAAGAGTAATCTTGCAACATTCTATTAAAATAGAGGAAGTTCACCAGAGGGGTTCAATTAAGTCAACATAATTAATATCAACATGATCAATATGGAATCTAGCGTAATTGTCGTACGCATTTCTGTATTCCCACTGTAATTAAATTAATTAAGGTATATTTTATTATGTGGTTTGGTTTGTTTATATACAGCAGACAGTTGTAGTTTAATCCTCCCACATGCTGTTTTTCTGTTGTTGAGTCCATTTCATTTTCTCATTTTCTGTGCATGTTCTTAGATAGATATAAGAAAATGTTGTATGAGTGCCAATGAGACAACTCTCCATCCAAGTCACAATTTGTAAAAGTAAAGCATTATAGGTCAAAGTACCTGTACATTTATGACAATTCATAAGAGAATGTTTCGGAATTTTGGGTCTTCACTGCTCTTTAACATCGTACTTTATTTTGACTTTTTAACATTTTTTCTATTCGAGTGTCGCTGATGAGTCTTTTGTAGACGAAACGCGCCTCGGGCGTACAAAATTTTAAACCTGGTATCTACGATGAGTTTATTTGTGTACATCAGAGACAGACACAAAACGAAAAAAAAGACATCTAGAGAGTAACATGCTGTATTCAACAATAGAAAAGTTGACAACTAATGCAATTAGTTTTAAGTCGCTCCCAGTCTAGAAGAGTTGTGACTTGATCTAAACGTTTGACATGTCACATGTTTATGACTATTCAAACATAAAACAGAGTCGCTCCTGTTTCTGTTGAGCAAATCTTAGCTTCGTAGAACATTGGCTTGAGATATGCACGAGGGTTTGGATAAGTTTTATAGTATAGGAAATAACGGGGGAAATAAAGAATAGAGAAAGATGGATATAAAAGGAAAAATAGAGAATAATGTTGTGCTAATTATATAAAAATATACAGAACAGAGAATGATGAGTTGCTGGTATATATATAGAACAGAGAATAATTGGGTGCTAAAATATATAGTAGATTAGAGATTAATGGCAAGAATACAGAGTTGAAGACCCTCGTACAAGTTGTGAAATGTTTCAAATCAAGTAATTGAACAGTTGGGCATTCAAGACATCAAAATTGTTTATGTTCCAATGAAGCCTGTAAAGATTAGATATGAGTTTAAATAGATGTTGGGTATACGGCAATATGATAGCAACCAACGACAAAAATATTTGCAAATAGTCTTCAACAATAGACAGAAGTCTATAAAATATTTCATGCTCGAAATCGTTCCAAGTCTATAAGACTTCATTGTTAATTCTCACAATGAAGACGACCTTGACCCAAAAAGTAAAAAGAGGAAGAATTCTGAAATAAAGTGACGATTGACATTTCATTTTTTCGTTTTAATTAATTTTCAAATTCCATGCCCGTTGGAAGTGGTTGAGTCTCTTACAGAACTGTCTTCTAATCCGGTTTATCATGATGCAACATCCCCTTTAGCAACTGATAAGAATAGAAGAATATTTTATTGAATCCAATAAAGGGCCCGTTTCCGAGCATATATATATATATATATATTTGGACCCCTCTACCAAGAAATTTGTTTTGCATGCACACGTATACAAATTGCGGTTTTTATTCAACGCAATCATAGGTTTGAACGTTGTTTTCAATTTAGACGTGTATATATATATATTGCGTTGGATAAAAACCGCAATTTTTATACGTGTGCATGCAAAACAAATTTCTTGTTAGAGGGGTCTAAATAGAGCACAAACAACATTTTCCAAAAGACCAAAAATGTGAAAAAGTATATTTTAACAAAACGCATTTGACTAACAGGTCGAACAACAAATGTTCTTAAACCCTGCTGACTGCCATTGGCGATTGCCAAATAAACGGATCACCGATGTAATAAATGGATCTTAATAATAAATTTAATACTAAACAGAAAACAATAAACTTGCGGAAAAGATGATATACCGCAAACAAAAGGTGCAAAGATTTTTGTACACCATATCCGGATTTCGACAATTAATGTCTCTTCAGTGATGTTAGGAATCAAAACAGTATTTGGAAAGCCATACAATTTACCTCAATTTAAATTTGTTTTCAATTTAGACTTGTTTATATTTTTTCGTTTGGGCTTGTATTATATTTGCCTTCGGGTTTATATGATCCGTTCATCCTATTTTGACTCCTCAAAATTCAAGAGTCTATCCTAAATTGAGGTTAATTGTATGGCTTTCCAAATACTGTTTCGATTCCTAACATCACTGAAGAGACAATAATTGTCGAAATCCGGATATGGTGTACAAAAACCTTTGCACCTTTTGTTTGCGGTATATCATCTTTTCCGCAAGTTTATTGTTTTCTGTTTAGTATTAAATTTATTATTAAGATCCATTTATTACATCGGTGATCCGTTTATTTGGCAATCGCCAATGGCAGTCAGCAGGGTTTAAAAACATTTGTTGTTCGACCTGTTAGTCAAATGCGTTTTGTTAAAATATACTTTTTCACTTTTTTGGTCTTTTGGAAAGTATATATATATATAAATATAGTATTAATTATACAGCAATTTTTAAGGTATATTACATTGACAATAAATGAATAAATAACTATACTTCATACTAGATGGTGTTTGAAAATAGATAAAATAGAATATTGACCCTCTCTAATAAATAAAACAGAAACAACCTCACTACTAAATGTTTATTTAGTTTCTGAAATTCAATTTTTTTTCTTATTTCAAAACAAGTACTAATAAATCTTGACACTGACATATTAACATTTTTAGACTCACTGGACATCAACCAAATAAACTGTTGGTACTTTGAAATATAAGAGAAGTTTTTACATTGAATAGATGATTCAACAACTAATATGTTCACTGCCTTGAAACCGACCGTGCTTCGTCAAATATTGGCGGTTAAAATATATCCAGCATAAAAGAAGTTCAATTGAGATTCAGCAAATCTTTGAGTGATTTGAAGTCACGCTTAATTCCTTCTTAAGTAAGCAGGCACCTCTCTGTCGTTGTATATACTTTGAGGGTATTATATTTGTATACTTTGTGGTTGTATATTCTATACAAACATAACGGTAATGAATTGGCTCAGTAACAAATCCAAGGATTTACAATGCAACCTCTGCAATGTGCGACATATAAATGCTGTATAAACAATTAGTACGTTTCGAATCCGCAGAAAATTGATTAAGTCTTCTAGATACCGATGTTAATGAGTAAATATCCTGAGAAGAAAAATAAAGTTTATGATGTTTACATTTTTTGCAATGAAGTATACAGTGTGGGTGATCAAGTGAGCACGTACTTTAGATTACATAAACATCATCTTTGAGAGAAAAAACATCGCCATTTGTAATTTGTTGATGTTAATGACCTTAGATATCTACTTTAATATTTTCGAAGATTGAGGGATGAAGTTTTAACAAAAACAATGATAGTTTCGAGTTCACCTTGGCTTGACCTTAAAAACCAAAAGTGAATATTCGTAATTGAGAAATATACATTTCAATTTGGAAGGAAAAAAGAATAAACGTTTTATTTCGAGTTCTCGAGATATTTTACTGAACCATTGACCATTGATTTTGAAATTCATTATACGTCATGTTGTCTTTTATTCGTAGTTTTATAAGTCTTCTATCTTCAATGAATATAAACTTAGTACGTTGGTATGTTGGATTAGTTGTCTGGTATATTTCTTTTAATGTTAAAACATACCACGGAGGCACTAAAAACACAAGTCGAAGAGAGAAAGAAATCTCCATGACCACAATAAAGATGAAAAGACAAACAACTTTCTACAAATACAATAAACGATACAGAACACTTATAGAACAGAGGCGAAAGATACCAAAGGAACATTCAAACTCATATGTCGAAAATAAACTAACAACGCCAAAAAAGAAGAAGACAAACAGACAAACAACAGCACATAAAACACAACATAGAAAACTAAAGACTGAGCAACACGGACCCCACCAAAAACTGGGGGTGATCTCAGGTGCTCTGGAAGGGTAAACAGATCTTGTTCCACATGTGGCACCCGTCGTGTTGCTCATTATAGTACAAACCCGGTAATAAGTCTAATTCGGTAGGTCACATTCGGGGAAAAAGGGACGGGATTGTAGTAACGACATTTGGAACATATCCGCTATCATCTGTGAAATGGAT